GCCCAGAGCATGATGCTGCCACCACCATGCCTCACAGCTGGTACTGTGTTCTTAGGTTTGAAAGCCTCACCACAATGGCACATACCTAAAATATGTAACCCTAACCCACAATTAGCTCAAACTGTGTCTCATCTCACCATGAAATTTTTCTCCAGAAGACATTTGGGTTGTCCATGTAAGCAACTACAAATTTTAGTCAAGCTCATTGGTGTCGATTTTGGAGCAGGTGCTTCTTAGTCCATGGCAGGCTTGTGCTTTGGTTGTTCCTGGGAGGTTTCTGCAAATCCAAACCAATTTCCTGACATCTGCAGGTGACATTTTAGTTATTCTTTCAGATCTTGGCAATTTTTTTGACACATCCAAATAACTTTTGTACAATTATTTAAACTTATGGTCTTGGAATCTGCAGGTGTTTAGAAATGGCTCCAACAGACATTTGAAAGTTGTGTAAATCTACAATCTCCTTAGATCTTCACTGAGTTCTTTGCACTTTCCTTTTGTTCTGAGTGTTGGTCAATCCAATGAGAGCAGTCAAACAAATCCTTGTTATGCTGGCAAAGAGAAACTACCAGTTGTATTCAATCATGATCACTATAAGGAGTTGATAGGACTTATCCATTTAAAGACATTTCATAACCTTCAGCACCATTTAGTGAAAGATTTGAGTGTGTATATATTTGAGCCTTTATGTATACTTTTGGCTCTGTGTGGACTAGAGAAAATCCAAAATAAATTCCAACTTCTGCACAAAGTTCCCGTATATCATTACAGTTCCATATAATCATTCCACCCTGGAAAAGAAACAGGTCACAGAACTGAAAACCCCCAATTTTCAGTGACATTCACATCCATGATGTGTGTATGAAACTGCTGACCAGAAGCATATATGTCCTTCCCAACAGTATGTTGGATTATTTTTAATGCTAAATATACAAACACAAAAGCAAACAAAAGATGCCCCCTGCACACACACACACACACACACACACACACACACACACACACACACACACACACTTAATAAAGATAAAAGGAAAGCAAATAGCTCCACTTGTTTGATTCACTACATGGTCAAAACAAACAAATTTCTGTTAGATCAAAATCTTCAAAAAGTTCAAAAAAGGTCCCAAGACATTTCCAGATATCTTTGTCTTCTCCAGAGCTTAACATTCAGTCAGTGAGCTGTAACCTCAAAATAATTTCATCAGCATGAATTAAAAAAAGGAGAAGAAGCAGACATTATATAAACAACCAAAGAGAGAAGTTACTCCATCTGGGTAGTAAGTTTTTGTTGTTGTTGTTTTTTGTCATCTTAACCTAAACTGACTTTTATATTTATTTATGCAGTTTTTGCAAGTTTCCCAACTCTGTGAAAAGAAAAAAAAATAGTGGAGCAGTACTCCTCAAGCCTGACATATAAATATAAATGCGGTGCCTTTGCGCTTAAAGACGGAAGATGATCTCATCAGGGATTACTTAAAAAAAAGTTTAGTGGTCTTGATAGAAAGCTGAATAAATAACAAGGAAATAGTAACAATAAGGACAGTATACAGCCTCATACCAACTAAAACTATATTTAAAACTATTATTTAATCTATATTTGATGTTATATGTGCAGCGGTGACTTTCGATCCCAGTTATTGGGATCATGTGACACCCCTATGTGGTCACGTGATATCTTTTGTTGACGTTTCTCGCTGTATTTTACATGCAATATATCCATGGGCTTATCCAGAAGCTGGTGCAATGTCATCGCCTCGCTAGCAAGCAGCAAACTCCGGAGGGTATAAACCTGCACTGGGCTGCCGGCGAATAGCTTCACTAATGCTACCGAGTATCGACAGCACTGGCGAAGCAAAGAGAGCCGAAGAGATGCTTTTGTTGTCGGTTTAAGACGATACGGAGGGACTGTTTTCACCTCGACAGGAAGAGGGACACCGCAGTTCGTGGAGTTGTTGTGCAGAAACCTTTCTTTTTGAGGTAATTGAGCGTATTTACAGTACTATTTACACTATTAAATAGTGTGAAATGTAACTGTGTCGATGAGTCAGTGCCTCAAATGTAGGAAATTGCTGTCTTTTCCCCCCTCGGCTGCATTATTTGCATTCATCAGAGCCCTTTAAGGATTGACAAGAAGATTGACCAATCGGGAGAGCCAGAAGGCCCGGGATGGGCCAATCAGAGACGATGTCGAGGAGGTCCACGTCTTTAACTCCCTGTGCGTGGTTATTGTTTGCCAGAAAATACTAATAAGGAAATAGGTCAATGCGATAATTGAGCCCTGACTTATTATAGTCAATGAGACAAGTTCCCAGTTCCTTCACAGAAGGGTCAGTTTTATTCTGTTTTATTCGTGCTGTGCTGTGAAATAAGATTCTAATGGGACAAAAGTGTACTGTAAGACTGCGAGGACATCCTGGTTTAGGAGTTCATGTCTATCGATCGCGCTTTCTGGACTGTGTGTGTTTGTAAATGTGGTATTGCAGATGTGCGCATTCTCGTGTGTTTTGGAGCTGTCACAAATAGCTCTCTGTCTGTGATCTTATTACTCCTATAATAACCTATTGGGGAATTTCCATTGACTATTTATGTAAATGTAAATGACCTGGTTTTTTTTCTTATCACCTCTTTGCCCATGTGCCTCTGGTGTCTGAACAAATTTCTAGACTCTTATCATCTATTTTGTATTTATTATAGCTGTTCATATTTATTACCCATCACAGTTTGTAGAATTTCCTTTTAACTTCTCTTGTTTTGGTTTTCCTCATGGTTCTCAGAAATGATTAAAGATCATGCTTTTGATGATTGCTCAATTTCACTTCTCTTTTCGAATCTGCTGTTAAATAGAAACTCAGAAAGAAGTCATTACAGTTCAGTAGAAGCTATAGGTAAATCTGGAATGAAAACCTGACTCGCTCTCTTTCTGTCTCCAGCTCCGACAGAAGGCAGCTTGAACTGTGTCCTATGTACCCTTCAAAATGGCCATTTTCCAACAATTTGGACTACTGCTGTGGAAAAATTATCTTCAGCAGGTGAGTTAAAAGAAGGTGTACCACTTCTAACCTGCCTCTATGTCCTTTTTAGGTGCTGATATTCTTCGCAGCACCATTGTGTATTGTCAGAAGTAGCAGTGTTTACAGAGGGGCCGCCTGGATTTACAGCACTGAATTGATAGCAATATGAAAGCTCATAAATACAGTAAACTGACTAACAGTTAGTTTCATGAACTTAAGATGTTACCCAGTGGGTTGAAACCTGTTTAAGCTCAGAAATAGACAATATGTTTGTACAGTTTCTAGACTGGTCAGCTTATTGGTGGCTATCACATGCGTTTCCTAGCCTTATATGGCTGTCTTCGGGAGAAGTCATGGTGTATATCTTTAGTTATTTCAGTTTTTTTTTTCTTTCAACATAGATCATGAGACAAAAATCATTACAGCTGGATTTTTCTATTGTGTTTATGGGAACAGCATGTGATTACATTCAAGGCCTGTCAGTTTACAGAAGACTGGAAATCATTTTTGCAATACAGAGTGCTTGATTTATACTGGCACAGGCTATTGGTACAGTTCTGTTTGTGCATTGTGCTCTGTAGCTCTTGTACACTTTTGAACATTAATACCAGTTGATGATTTCACAATCCTGCACATTTTGAGAAATGGCTTTTGCTTTCTGCTGCATAGCTTGTGTGCTCTGAGGGCTGTTTCTCCATCACCTATTTGTCTTTCACCTGCTGCTCCAGCTGTTGCCTTGATTCCGTTTGCAGAACACAGGCGCACCATATAATTTAATCTGTCTTACAAAATCTCATATATGATCATATTTGACTTTTACAATGAAATTCACAGACACAGTAGCTTAGGCCTGTTAAAGCCCACAGCAAAGCCCATACATTTCTGGTTCATCCTGTTTTTTATTTTGTGGTCATCACCCCCATGTTGATTTTGACATTATTTTCTAGTTAAGTCTTTTAAAACTTGTAAGCAAGCGAGTTGTGTAAGCAAGACAGATTTCCCACAACTATATGCAGTCATGAAACTAAGTACACACCATGATTCAGTAGTTTTTAGAACCTCTTTTAGCAGCAGTAACCCAAAGTAATCATTTTCTGTATGACTTTATCAGTCTCTCACATCATTGTGGAGAAATTCTGGTGTATTCATTACAATGTTGCTTCAGTTCATTGAGGTTTGTGGGTGTTTGTTTATGCACAGCTCTCTCAAAGAGCCTGCTACAACATTTCAGTCAGGCTGAGGTCCGGACTTTGATTGGGCCATTGCAACATATGACTTTTTTCTTTGTCAGCCGGCAGCAACCTGCCAACCAGTTTTGGCAGGTTGCTGCTCCACACCAGCAAACTGCCAAAACTGCTGTTGTTACAAAGGTGATCATACTTGCTGATGATCAGTTAATCCAGTACATTTTATTAGCAGCATCTGGCTGCTTCCTACCCATGGGAGCAGTAAGGGGACACTACGGTTCACACTGACTTTTTTGCATGACTATATTTTACTCTGTGCTTGCATTCATTCTCCTAAGTAGCAATTTGGATTTATTGCTGAAAGGGGAGGGTGTAATATTGAGATTGAGATTAATGTCCTGAAACTGTCCAATGCACTTTGTACTTCAATCACTCAGCAAGCGGAGTCTATCACGTAAATTACGTTTTATTTTAAGTGTCTGTGAAATTGTCTCATTTCACTCCATAACAGGGTAATAGGAATAAACCGATGCCCCAAACCCCATCCTGACTCAAATGATTAGTAGCTTGCATTATCATAGAGAGGTTTTTGCAGAGCGGTTGTACATGTTAATGTCACAGTATTTTTCCATTTTGGATGACCTAAGGTAGAGTTTATTTATTTCCCAAGATGTGTTGCCTTTATTAAAAATGATCAGTACTTTGTGTTTCTGTATGCACTTGATACCAGTGTTAATACTCTCCCTCACTCTGCTCCCCAGAAACGACAAATCCTTGTAACTCTGGTGGAGATCCTTCTTCCCCTGCTCTTCTCCTGCATCCTCATTGTATTGCGCCAGAAGGTGTCTTTCAAGGATTACCCAAATGCTACAATCTATGAGAGCTACTCAGTAGAAACACTACCAAGAGATTGGAAAAACTTACAGCTGACATATGTGCCCGGCAACTCCAGCGTGGTGCGTCAGGTGGCAGAGGATGTGCAAAGAAGCTTGTTCCTATCCTCAGGTGGGGAACGAATGTCGTATAACATGTAAAGATTTGTTTAAGAAGGAATTTTAATCCAAATGTAGATCTGTGAAAAGTAGGTCAGAAAATATATTCCATCTGCAGTTGATCAGTCAACAGCCAAGATTTGATTGGCACCAAAGATGATCAAAGGCATTTTTTTGTAAAAATACATCTAGATTTGAATCAGAAGGTATTCACGTGTCCGTCTTTGTGTTTAGCTCTTTCTGAATGTGATCATCCATCAGCCTGTTTGTCTCATTAAGGTATAGTTTGACATTTTGGGAAACCTTCCTGAAGATTAGATCAATACCAACTCCACTGTCTGTCTGGTAAACACAAGGTTACAGATTGCAGCATGTTAGTTTGGCTTTGCGTAGAACTAAAAACAGGAAAAGAGCATCAAATCTACCCTTACCTCTCAACTAAAGCCGACTTATAAACATTAAAATGCGTCTTTCCCATAATTCCAGTCTTTATAGTTAGCCGAACTAACAGGTTTCTGCCTTTAGTATTTATTTTAGTACAGTTTCTTGTCAGATGAAGTAAAAAAACAAATGTTTGCAGGAACATTTATTGCCAGTAAAACAAACCCTTTAGCCCTGACACCATTTGTAGTTGAGGACAAACCTGGGAATACTTGTTCTTCCAGAAACAATCCTCAGAAGGGCCACACCCTGCTCGCGACCAAACGGTGTCAGCTTAGAGTTTAGACAAGGAAATGAAAAGGACACACACTGTAGCTCACATGGCTGCTCCCCCGGGGACACGTCTTTTTAAAAACTCAGGCGCTAACACACATCTGCCCTGTGTGACCAGTTATTCAGATAAACATGCAGACAGCCTGACAGACAGGTGTACAAACAGGCTTTTTGCATATTTGTTTTCATTTTGACTGACAATTGGCACGACGGGCAAATGGCTGCCGTGTGAGGTGAGCGGAGAGATACACAGGTAGCCAGAGATCTGTGGAACTGCTTCCCTGAACACAGCTATTTGAGATCTAAGCTCAGCTGTTAATAAATAATTTAACTAGCACTCAGAGGGGAAGGTGAAGAGGGGGTGATCAAGGCTGAATCACTGATATTTTGTTTTTCCTGCTGTAATTCTACAATGTTGTGCCTAAAATGAGGGATTCTTTTAAACAGATAACACATTAATTAATAATTAGAGATAAATAATGGAATTATTTGTGACTCCGGTCATGAAATTGTTTATTTTCCAAAATATTGTGAAATGGTGTGTTACAAAACTATTTTTCCTTCCTGTCATCATTTAAGAATAATGCTTCCCTTTTTAAAATTTGCAGATAATCTACTTCTTTTAAAGATTTAAACACATAAGTGAACAGTTTTACTCAAGACAACAATTAATAAAACCTAATCTTACTTTATCAGTTAAATCACTGTTTTTTGAAAATGTGCAATTCCAACATCTTTATGTCCTCAGTGATCTGTTTTCAGGGTTATTGAGGTTGTCTCTCGTACACACTGTTTTACCTTCAGTCTCATGTTCTCACGCTCCAAGCAGACCCTCCTATAAAAAGAAGAAAGAAAATGGTTCTTTCTGCCAAGTTAAGTCTGAACATCTGGCCTTTTCACATTTCAGCATCACCATGGACACATAAACATCATATTATGCACCTGAGGAACTGAAAACGCGGTGGCTTACTGTCATTAGGGAAATACCCGTGTGTTCATTCGTGTTAATATCCTATTGTTACAATCTGTTTGCTAGAAGCTACAGAAAGTCTTTCTAATGCTGGTAAAGTGAACTGCTCTTAGGAGTAGCAGTGGGCGATATAGCCTCAAAATTATATCTGGATATTGCAAGAAAATGTGCAATATTATTGCAAATTCGATGATTTAGACAAATTTTATTGATGCAGGCAGCAGCTTTTGTAAGTAATTAAAGGGAATTTTCCATCTTTCTTTTGCAGTGAGCATTGATGACAGACTGCCAAATTTGTAGTGTGAATCTATTGAAACAAGGTGCCAGCAGCAGCAGCCACAGGATTATGGTGTATTAGTAGTCACACAGCATTATATCCAGTGACAAATGCAAGCACAGAGTAGCCTACGAAGAGTTCTCCTGTAATTCTGGAGGAGATGCACAATATTGTCACATAATAAAACTGCAAAATATTCTCTTCCCGGGATGTTTTATCTTTGTAAACAGCTGCTTAAAGCCCTGGTTTTCAACCATGTAACCGCATCACTAATTTAAATCCACCATTTGCTTTTCCTGACATATGGACTGAAACTTGTGATGGTTGGTTGAGTCATTGGTTACTTTTGGGTTGTACACCACCAGCTGCTAGCATCATACTCGATGGTGTGTTTTTTGCCAAGTGGTGAAACACATTTGTTGTTTCCACCTTTAACTGGAACAGTTTCCTTGCATATTTTACTGGATAAATACTGTTTTCTGTTGGAGGTTGTTGAAGTAGCTTCCTTTTTAGGAAGAGGTACATGGATCGATCTGAATACTTGCAGTACTGGCCTTGTATTTACTTGTTATTGAATTGATACCAAAACCTGCATGATCGCACAGCACTAGGTACTAAGTCTTCAACATAGGGTGACACATGGCTCTTGTTATCTTGTCTTGTTATTGTGAACTAGGGAACATAAACATAGCTATTGCTATTGCAACCTCAATATGACACATTTAAATCACGTAAGAAATATTGCTGGTATTATCGCAGATAATATAATATGGTGCAGTCCTATTTAGAGAAGACCTATGCTGGATATTTGTTGACTATATTTCCTGGTTTTCATTGTACAAACTGACCAATCACAGCAAGACTTTTTGGGGACTAGATAGTAGCATTTCAGAGGGTGTAAAGCGGTGCAGAGAATAAGATATAGATATGTCTATATATATGT